AATGGTTATGTGACTTTCAGACAAAGTAGACCACAGAACATGGAATATTATCAGAAATAAGAAATATGTCATAATGGTCAAGAAGTCGGTGTATTAAGAAGACATAGGTATAGGCGACTAGCCACAGAGCTGTCGTAGTCGAAGCAGTCATTGATTGAACGAAAGCTGAAATGGGCCGACCCACAATTATGGTCGGAGATTCAACAGCCTCTCTGAGTAACTGATATAATAACATTTTACAAAAAAAGGTCGGTAAGGATGCAGAGTCTTGAAAACACTGTTCACGAACTGGCTCACGAGACGCTGGTAGGTCACATCACCCATCTGCAGCATGTTACGCGTTCTTTCGAGAGCACGCGGCGTATTCAGCAAGACAGCCAAGGCCGTTCAACAAGTCTCAGTATATCTCAAAGGCTGGAAATCGTACGAAGTGTGTTCTCCAACAAATACAAAATTAAACGAGAAGCCAAGAGCAGAAGAAACGTCTGGTCTACATCCTGGCGATTGGACGTGAAACGGCACACTGCTAAATAACAGATCAGCCAAAGGAGACGCGAAATGGAAATTTGATAATATTTTGAAATGAAGGAAAATAAAAATACATAATATCGAAATTTATGATATGTGGCTAGGAAGTACTTGACGGGAAATTTAGGTTGTAAGTGCTCGTTTAGACCTAAGCTTTTACCTTAAACTAGAAAAGGAGGAAAAAAATTTAAGTCTAAATATACAGAAGAAAAGTAATAAAGAAGTCAGCCATAATAAAACAAAATAATAGAGAAAAAGAAACAAAACACAAAGCTGCTTTTTGGAAAATATCAATAAAACTGATCAAACTAATAATAAAATTAAATTAAAAAAATAAAAAACAAGATAAAGAACAGAACAACCCATGTCAGAAGTAGAGGACGGGCCACCACTACTGATATTAAAAGGATAATAAAAAAATATTTCAGCCTTATATCAATAAATTTGACAACATAAATGAACTAAATAAATCCTTGAAAGGCACAAATTATCACAGTTCACTAAAAATGAAAGAGACACCCTGAATAGTGCTATATTGATATTAAAAAAACCTAATTAATACTTTAAAATTCCTCATATAGGATCTTCAAGACCCAGATGGTTACGCAGGTGACTTCTGTCCAACATTGACAGAGACATAATACCAATTCTACGCAAATTCATAAAACAAATAGAGAAGGAGGAGGAAATACTTCCCAAATCACTTATTAGGCCAACACCGCCCAGAAATAAAACCCAAAGCTATTAGCAGAAAGGAACACCAGGAGCCGATCACCATCGTGAATACAGGTGTAAAACTTACAGCGAAATATTGGCAAACTGAGTCTGGCGACATATAAAAGGCATAGCACTTCACAGCCAAATGAATTTTATCCCAGAAGCGCCAATTTGGGTGAACCTTTGAAAATGAAATGATGTGATCTATCACATCGACAAACTAAAAACAGCAAAGCAACATCATCATTTCCATAAATGTAGAAAAAAACATTTGAAAAAAAAATTCAACAGTTGTTATAAAATTTAACATTCATTATAAAAACTCTGAGCAAACTCGAAATACACAGGAACATCTTCAGCCTGATAAAAGACAACTACAAAAAAATACTGACATCACACTGAACAGTGAAGAGTAAATGCCTTCGCCCTAAGATCGGGGAAAAGGTGGGGTGTCCGATCTCACTTCTACCCAGCATGATTCTGGCCATTCTCTAGGGTGTAAGTAGGCCATCAAAAGAAGTCGAAAGCATCCAGTTAAGAAAGGAAAAAAAACAAAACAAAACAAAACTATATCTACAGAAAATATTCTTCTGTAGAAAATTCTAAGGAATCTATTAAAAAAAATACGCACTAGAACAGTTAATAGACTTAGCAAAGTTACAGAATGTAAAATCTCAGTACCAAAATCAGTTCTATTCCTGTATGTTAGCAATAAATAACTGGACATGGAAGGTAAAAATAGGCTTGTATATTTTAAATATATAAAACAATAATAAAAAAAAATACTTAGAGATAAATCTAACAAAATACGGGCAAGACCTCTATGCTGAAAACTACAAAACATTGCTGAGAGAAATTCAAGATTTTTTAAAAACCCTTAAGAAGTTTACATTCT